CGTCTTTGACAACCCTCCAACAATGGGAGAGGTTGAAGCACTTGTCGTCATGTTGGACCTTGAATGCCTCCAAAGCTTGGAATACCTACAAATGTATTGCACGCAAGCATATTGGCAAAATGGATATGGAAATGGACATGCAAGCATAAACGGAATGACACAAAAGAGGGCCACTTGCTACCATACCATGTCTTGCATACCGATGCCGCTCACGGGGCATGCCTTGATGCTTTCAAGAGTGGCACAAAACTTGTTGCACTCTTGTTGGATCACCCTCATCGCTTCGAAATGGACACCCACCCGCGCGTGTTACTATTTGGTACGGCGGAAACTTCTTGCGCTCATGGAACTCATGATGGACACGAATCCAAAAATTTGATGCCTTTTGTTCGGCTAGACCTCGGGGTCTTGCCCAATGTCCCTCCGACACTTACAAAGGAGCTTGTCCCCGGCCGCCGTGTATGCCTTCGTCCGCTTGCTCTTGTGCTTCGGCTTCGCCCCAGCGGTTTGGTTGGCGAGCTTGTCCTCGAACAAAGGCTCCTCTTCGATGTCAAACTCATCCTATTCCTCTTGTTCATAGTCTTCTGGAAACTCGTGGTCGAGTGGTAAGCCGTCCAGGTCCAGGCCGACCTGATCATGCATGAAGGCCACCTGATCTTGATCAAAGGTGGACGACGTGAACGGGAACGACCCTCGGCCATCTTGGCTTTGTGTCTCTTCGGGATCGTAGTCGGCGCTAGCGGCACCGCCAGCGGCTGCTGCACCACCCTCGAAGATGGTGTTTTGCATGTAGTCGTCGTCGCCGGAGGCCGGCATTCCGTCGAACAGGTTGCGCGCGCCCGGCAGCACGTCGGCTGGCATGTGCCGCGCGCATTTCCTCGCGCCTCCGGATGACGAGTCACCGGCCACCGGTGTGGCGTTGAGGTCGATGGGCATGGGCGCGGGCGTGGAAGGTGCCACCGCGCTCCCCTTGGGCGAGCACTCCCCGAAGAGTCGGGAGGCTTGCGGGTAGACGTGGAAGCCGGGTATCGGATGCGTCGCGCGGGTGAGTCAGGCAACACCGTACGAGGGAACGCAGATGAGCCGGTGCTGGCCGCGACCACGGCAGCGTTGACGAGGCCATGCTGGCCAGGGTTTAACCCTAGCAGAATTAGCGCCTCCCTCGTTGCCGCCGCAACGCGGGCGTTGGTCGCCTCCAGCTGTGCGGCGGCGGCGATGGCGGCCGCTGCGATGGCTTTGTCCCTCGCGTACGTCGCGTGCCTCCGACCCTTTCTCTTCGCCGACTCCCTTGCCCGCTCTTCGGGCGTCAACTTCTTCTTCTGCTTGGGCACGGTGGCGGTCTTGCGGGGGGCGTGAGGCTTGCCTTTCCTGGAGGGGGCGGTCGTGGTGCCGGACGAGACGAGGGAGGCGAGGCCGACGGCGGCATTGAGGTCGTCGTCCATGGCGGGCGGCGGGAGCACGCACGGGCGGGAGGGTTTTGGGGGGGAATGGAGGGAAATGGTCGAGGCTGCCACCGACCAGCGGCCCAGGGGGAGGAGAAGGCGAGCACGCGCGTCCATCTCATGTCCGCGCCGACGCAAATCCGGCTCAAATTCGGCAAGCAGACCAAAAGCGGGCGCGCGTCCGTTTGGGTCGGCGCGTTGGGCCGATTTTTTTGTCCACGCCGACCCAAACAAACACGTGTGGACGATATGGGTCGCCTCGTTGGAGTTGCTCTCAATAGTGCCAAATAGTGTTATGATTGCTACAGACGACCTGCCACGGCCCGGCCATGCCCCTGGTAGCCTAGGGCCTGGTTACGCCCCTCGGTGTTTGTCTTCGGTGAATCCGTGTGGATTCGGATGTCGCTCGTCTGCCTTTACTTGTCAACAAGTTGGATTCTTCTGATCTACTCTTCTCTTCACTAGGTACGGTTGCTGTTCTGGTGCGCTGATCCTATGTGGCCTTAGCATGATGACTTTTTGGTTGTCTACTACAACAAGGTCTGTTTGGCTCCTATGAGGGAGGAGCGATGACGGCGGCAATGCCTTCGACTTACTCCAGTGCTTGTAGTTGTCGCTAGGTGGTCTTTCGACCAAGATGTAATTTTTGTTACTTCTAGTGTACTTTATACTTCATTAACAGTTCATGAATGGATCAAAATGTTTTTTTTTTTGAAAAAAAATATAAAGACAACTCCAACGCAGTCCACAAAACTGCTCCTAAATGTCCACAACGGTCTACCCGGCCATTCTTTGTCACCCAACATCGTTCATCCTGGACTGCTTCAGATGTGTGAAATCCCACAAATCGACACCAAAAGTTTGAGAGGTTTGCGAGCATATGCCCTCTACCACGTCGGACTCCGGCCCACCTGACCCGCACAAAGTACCCCATATGGAGAACCTTTTGCCATATCGTGTCTCTCTCCTTTGTGCTCTATATCCGCTCCTTCGGCAGCCGACGACCTCGTCGTACCATCCCGGCCACCGCTCAGGGCCTTGTCGGGCCTTCACTGCTCCACCTGGCTGGCCCTTTCCGCATTCGACTACTCCGTCGTTCCACCATGGATCCGGCCGTAGCCCAAGTATCATCCACTATCTATCGACCCCATCCATGACGGACACCACGTTCGACAAGTGTTCAGCCAAAAGTCATTGCCATTTTTTTTGACTTTCTTGTTGTTTACTTTGGAGCAAACGATGGATTCGGACAAAGAATACTTTTACAACGAGTTCATGGAGCCATCTTCATCAAGGAACTCATGAACAGTTGTAAAATGATCTAGTTGAGCATTTCTAGACGTTTCATACGACAACTGCCGCATGACTGGCGTGTCCCATGGTTTCTGCCACAAGTTAAGTTAAGATAATTCCTGAACTGTATGTGTAACTGAAGTACTGAACCATCGCCCAAAACATAACCAAATAATTACTTGAACACAAATGAGCCATGAACAAATACCAGCATATTACTAGTTTATTAAAAGTTGCGGATGTAAATGAAAACCTTTAAACCCTCTAGTAATTTTTTGCCCGAACCAAGCAAGAACACAAGAGAGATGGAGTACAGAGCAATTGTGTTTTGTGACAAAATGGACTCCTCCAAGCATCCTAGCTAGTCTCCCCTGTTCTATTCTTCACCTGCATCGGCAGGCCGCCTCCCATCCGCAGCGTCAGTGACATTATGAGCTTGGGATGCCCCTCGCCGCCGGCGTACCGGAGGCTGAACCTCTCCAGCACGCACGCCACGATGGACTTCATCTGTATGTAGGCCATCTCCTTGCCGAGGCACATCCTCGGCCCCGCGTGGAAGACCGCGTACTTAAACGGGCTCTCCGGCCGGAACGCGCCCTCCTCGTCGAGCCAACGCTCCGGCCTGAACTCCTCGCAGTCCTTGCCCCAGACGCCCTCCAGCCGCGCCATGGCGAACGCGCAGTATGTCATCAGCCAGCCTTTTCCGACGAACGTGCCGTCCGGGAGGAAATCGTCCTCCTTGCAGCTGTGCGTGTCGGCGGCCACCGGCGGGTACAGCCGCATCGACTCCGTGATGGCCGCGTGGAGGTAGTGCATCTCGCGTAGCTCGTCGAAGCTGAGAGTCGACGACGCGCCGTCGCCCGACGCACGCACCGCGCGGATCTCGCGCGTGATCTTCTCCTCCACGTCGGGCCGCGTGGACACTAACCAGAAGAACCAGGTCAGCGCGGACGAGGTCGTGTCGCGGCCGGCGAGGATGAAGTTGGTGACCACGTCGCGGAGGCTCTCGTCGCTGTGCTCGCCGGCCGCGGCGAAGCGCGACAGGAAGTCGTCCCTGCTGACCAGCCCAGCCTCCCCTCTCTCCTTGCGCTCACGGACGATCTTGTCGGCGTAGCCGTGGATCGTGGCGAGCGCTGAGCGCATCCGCCTCTCCGGCTCCATGTCGAGTAGCCTCTTGACGCGCCACAGCCACTTGGCAGGCGACATGAACCGGGCCATGATGGTGTTCTGCGCGTCGTTGAAGGCGGCCATGAACTCCGCGCTCTCGGGCGCGGCCATGCTCTCCTCGGCGAGGCAGGCCGGGTCCTCGCCGAAGGCCACGCGGCAGATGTTGTCGAACGCGAAGCGCTCCAGCACGTCCTGCACGTCCAGCGTCCGCCCGTCGCGCCGCGCGCGGTCGAGCAGCGGCAGCAGCCGCTCGACGACCTCGAAGCGGACGGCGTCGACCACGAAGTTCCTCAGCGAGCGCTTGTTGAACTCGTAGCTGGCGGCCTTGCGCTGCCACAGCCACTGCTCGCCGTCGGAGTTGAAGATGCCGTGGCCGAGGAAGTCCTCGAGCATGGAGACCGAGAGCTCGCCCTTGGGGTAATTCCCAAAGTTAGCCTTGAGTATGTGCTCGACGCATGCCGGGTCGGCGGTGATGGCGCCGCCGGTGAGGCCGGGCACCTTGAAGGCGAGGGTGTGCGTGGGGCTGCCCTGCATGACGCCGGTGTACCACTCGAGGAAGCGGTCCTGGTTCTTGACGAAGTGCGGCAGCGTGCCGAGGATGGGGTAGACCTTGAGGCCATGCCCACGAGGCTGCTTCTTGGGGTCCGGCCGCAGGTAGAGAAAGTAGAGAAGAGGGAGGAGAGGGAGGAGGAGGAGGGGAAGGGATGAGGCCAAGGAGAGTTCCATGGTGAGTGAGTGAGTTGGTCGATCTTGCCTAGCGTGCGAGCGGTGCGGGTGATACTAGATCACTCTGCCTGCGATGGGAGGTCAAGGATTTTTCTGTTTTGTTGTATACTCGATCTGACTTGCCTCCCGATTCAGAGTTCTATGGTGAGTGAGTACAGTCGATCGACGACGAGTCAGAGTTGCCTCCCGATTCAATTATTTGATTCATGCATCGGGTTGCTACATTGGACATCACCACTTGCATTTACAGTATGTCTGTAGATGCTTTTTCAGGATCTGCTTACCAATCAAAATGAAAATGCCTGCCGGTGGCATCGTCCCGGAGCGCTCGGCCCCGACGTATCTGCTGTCATGCTATTGGTGCCTATGCAAACATCATTCAGGCTTTTTCATTCTTCATAACCCCCGGTAAAACCCTTATTCAGGCTTTGGTCCGCTCCTATATATAAAAAATTCAGGCGGAGAGGCTCCTACCCCTCACCCCGCTCTTTGAAATTTCAAAATAAAATGGAAAACAAATCAAGGTGTTACGCAGATCTTAGCATTGACATTAATATAAAAAGTTTTCTGACGCTCAAATCAAGGTGTTGCGTGGATCTTTAGCATCGACTTCCAAAAAGAAAAATTTATGGGCATATGGCAAACCGTTGATACGGTAATAAGCGGATCTAATTATAACTTTAGTAGTATAACTGCTTTTTTTGAATACGCAAAGCTTGCGTATCATTTCGTTGATAGATGAAAATAGAATGAGTACATGAGGTGTTACAACACATGACACGCACGCAAGGGGCGTGAACATGGTGCCAGAAGCGGAGAAGCAAGAGATGCTCGACCCAAAAACAAAAAAAGAACACATCTAAACTCGCCGACTAGAGAAGTTATCTAACCAACAATCAAACGACCAAGCATCTCCAAATCCAGCACCGAAGACGCCGCAAGCAAATCAAGACAATGCCTTCATGAAGGAGAACAACACCAGGACGCCATCATCGTCTGGTCAAAAAGAACGGTCCTAGGGTTTCCCCTGATGCTCGAACAGGGGCATGGATAATGGCCATGGCAGCCCCTCCAGAAAGAGGATGACACCCGTGGGTGTCACTGCTGCCAGCATAAGATGCAGGGATTTCGCGCTAGCCAAATTCCAAGCAATACCATGCCGCCGGAGCACAGATCGGAGACGAGGCAGTCGGTCATAGGCCGAAGCAGCAACTGCAGGAAGAGGAGCCCCGCCCGACGCCGAAGGAGGCACCGGGCTCCATCGGATGTGTGAGCTCCAGAGGAGGACAAGGTTGCGCGTAAACCTGGGAATGGTTTGGACTGAAACTACAGTTTCAGTACAGTTTGCCTTTTGGTCTACCTTCAGATTGGATGGAATGGGCTAAGCCCCTAATTAATTTGGTTTGGACTGGACTGTACTCTCTCCTTTCCGGTTTGTAGGGCTTATCTCAAAATTTTAGTTTTCTATTTTATAAGGTTCAATTTGGTTGTTTTCCATCACATGTTCAGATTCCAAGGTGCATTAAATCATTGCATGCAAGTATTAAAAGAAAACTGACCAATGCATGTACTTTATGCATGCGTGCATGCATTGCAATTAATGCATTGATAAACATAATTTTTTGAGGAAAACAAGAGCATTAAATTAGGTGCTTTTGCAAAACTATAAAAAGTATTCCACCACTCACCATCTACCTTGATTGGTGAGATTTTTGAATTGAGCCTTATAAACCGGAAAGGAGGGAGTACCAATTATTGGACTGATTTGGATTGGTTTGGACAGAGACAGATCGGTCTCAAACAATACACCCATGGACCAAATCGAGTGACTGGGTTAGGAGTCACCGGTTCCCACCGCCGCTGTCGCGCGTGCTGCGCGGCCGTGGTCTCTACGTGCACCGTAGTGGTGGGAGAGAGGAGGAGCACCGCAGTGGTGGGGCCCGTCGACCGCGGGCATTGCGCCGTGGTCTCTGACTATGAGAATGCATGGCTCATCGGCGAGGGAAGAGAAACCTTTAGGGGACCTCCATGGAACTGAGGGCACCGAGGACCTCTATCAATGTGGTGATGACTGGTCATCGGTTCGGCGACTGTGCCATCGATTGGGGACATCTCTGACCAACTCACTGGGGTGTGAGGTTGGCCACGACCAGGCTGGTATATTTGGCACACCGGCGAGGCTCGGCATGACGGTTGACCGCACAGACAAAGAACCACACCGACCACTCGTGCTCTTGCCGTCGTGAAGCTCTGAAGGTGAACCGGTGGTGCCGCTGTGCCCCATGCCGCACCGTAGCTTCTGCGCTATCCCAGAGCACCACGAGCTCTCCTACTATCCCCTCGGTCTGATCCTCTGACTTGCACGGTGGACTGTGCCGCACTGAAGCAACAGGACACGGCCGAGGTGGACCAATGTGCGTGGTGCATCCATGCCAATGCCCAGGACCAGTAGCGCATTGTCAGGGGAGATGCCACCACAGCTCGCTTTAGTGTGCCTAGTGCGTCCATGGCCGGCGGTTCTTCATGGGGCAGCATAGGTCGTACCAGTTGGAGTGTTCGATGACTAGAAGTCTATGGCTTCGTCGTTGTACCAACTGCTTTCGATGTGCATGAGCATATGTGCACATTCAGGGAGATGCTGCATTAACAGTTATCCACGTGAATATGTGAGCATGTACATAGTTTGAAACTTTGGTCTCAAACTGTATCTGCAGAATGGATTGGATGGGTTTGGCTTGAAAACACGATCAATTTGGTTTGGTTTGGATTTTAGCACTTATTATTTGGATTGATTTGGTTTGGCTATTGAACTTATACATGTACGGATTGGACTAGATTTGGTTTGGATTAGAAACTATTCCTAGGTTTAGTTGCGTGGCTGAGTGGAATAAAACCCATAGGGGACACAAGAATAAAATGTGGAAGACCCCTCCAACACGAAGGGCGGAAACCATAGGTGTCAGCCACACGATCTTCATTTTGTCAAGAGAGGTTAAAAACATCGGGGATTTACAACGGTTCAATTATCCCGTA